AAAAATTTGATTCATAAAAAATGCTAGTCTAGAAATGGTAAGTGATGATACCAATTTTATATTTTCACTAATTTTTTTCTACATCATAATAAGTTTTATCATAAAATTATATTTTATATAATTGTTTTCCTTTGATAATTTTATTTTGGACAATACTATATTTATCTTTCACAACTTTGATTTTATAACATAATTAATTTTATCACAACATAACAAATAAATACTCCCTCCGTCCTAATTCTTTCTTCCCAGTTTGACTTTTCCCCATTTTTAATTTTTGGCTTTGACTTCAAATTTTACCCTCCTTAAAAAAGATTTTTTGAATTTTTTTTGCAATCATTCAAAATATAGAGTTAGAAGATAATTGGTGTAAATACATGAGGGTATTAATATTATTTGTCATCTTTTTTTTCTAATAGGAAGGTAGTTTTAGGACGGAGAAAAAGGGGAAGTGTGAAGAAAGTTTTAGGACAGAGGGATTAAATGAATTGATTTTTAAAAATAAAAAATATAAATACTCAATTAATGTCACGAAGTAATGAATTCTTTATTTGTCCTAAAACTTTTTACGTAAAATTTTTCCAAAATTTGAATCATTATTAAATTTCCAAAATTTGAATCATCTTATGTAACCAAAGAAAATTAGATTTAGATTCTTTAAAAACTATTTTTTTTCACAACAAAAAAACTATAAACATCATAATCTAAAAGAATATTGTCTTTAATAAAAAAATTATAGAATATAACAAAATTTTGTTCCACCCGTGCACGGCACGGGTTAAAACACTAGTTAAAACTTAAAAGAAAGGTCAATTCATCATTAATAAACTTTGCCACATAAGCAACCAATAAAGGGTTGTCATCTCACCTTAATATAGCCCACATAAGCTTGACACTTGACGACTTTCTAGCAAACGGAGTCTCAAATATTATATTAAAGGACTATATTTTTTATAACTAAAAATAAATTTTTATACAATCCTTTTTTAATTATGAAATACTATAAAAGGTTAAGTGAAATTATAACAAAAAGCACTCTAGCCTGAATGGTTAGGAACTCAATTAAATTACCAAGAGATCTTTGGTTCAAACCTCATGGTGGTATTCTTTTGGAAAAAAATTGCAAAAAANTTAAAAGAAAGGTCAATTCATCATTAATAAACTTTGCCACATAAGCAACCAATAAAGGGTTGTCATCTCACCTTAATATAGCCCACATAAGCTTGACACTTGACGACTTTCTAGCAAACGGAGTCTCAAATATTATATTAAAGGACTATATTTTTTATAACTAAAAATAAATTTTTATACAATCCTTTTTTAATTATGAAATACTATAAAAGGTTAAGTGAAATTATAACAAAAAGCACTCTAGCCTGAATGGTTAGGAACTCAATTAAATTACCAAGAGATCTTTGGTTCAAACCTCATGGTGGTATTCTTTTGGAAAAAAATTGCAAAAAAAAAAGGTCCGGTTCGACTGGCTGTTTGTCCAAAAGGGTGACACATCAGATTTGCCAAATGTCGTGCCAAAGCTTTGCCAAATGTCGCCTTCCTACAGCTCTGACTGTCCTATATATATATAAATACTATAAAAGGTTAAGTGAAATTGTAACAAAAAGCACTCCAGCCTGAATGGTTAGGAACTCAATTAAATTATCAAGAGATCTTGGGTTCAAACCTCATGGTGGTATTCTTTTGGAAAAAAATTGCAAAAAAAAAAGGTCCGGTTCGACTGGCTGTTTGTCCAAAAGGGTGACACATCAGATTTGCCAAATGTCGTGCCATAGCTTCGCCAAATGTCGCCTTCCTACAGCTCGGACTCTCCTATATATATATAATAAAGGATGCTTTGATTCCATTCAACTTCAATAAAAAAAATAATCTATAATAATTTTAAAATGAGAATTTAAATTAT